TGGGAGCGCGGCAGTGCTCCCGCCGAGGGTTCGGATCCCATATAGAGACCTGTCCACTCACTGGTTGAGTGCGGTGCGGGCGCGACCCCGAGGGTTGCGATCCCATTACCGGTCACGAAAAAGGACAAAAAGGACAAAAAAAAAAAAAAAGAAAAATCCAAGCTTGCTTTCTCCCCACTCTGTTGAGTTTCATACCTTGCGTGCCAATATATATCAAGAAAGTGAAGCCCAAGCTTGGTCCTTCATTTTCATTGGTTCCAGAGTCTATTCCTGTGTCACCAACATGGGGTGAACCAGCCAGCAGAAGAGCAAATGAGGATGACTTCAGCACCGCCCCCTCCTCAAATGCTATCAGCAGAAAGAGACTTGTACTGCCACCATCTGGCCTTTGTGGGTGTCCCAGACAAGTGTTTGGTGAGAGGGAAGGACACAGAACAAATTGTCTGCTCTGCCATTCTCTTAAAATAAGCTCGGTGTGAGGAGGCTTTCAGAGCAGCAGGAGTGGGGCTGTGAAAAATAGAGAGTGGTGCAGCTGCACCCTTTAGAACTTTGGGGGAAAACACATATTATTTACCAGACAATAATAGATACCAGAGAGTAATAATGATTATTATAGTGTTTGGGATGGCAAACGCTGTAGTTAAGGTTCCAGAATGGCTCTCATTATAATCCCATTTTCCAAGTCTCTTATGAAAGCCTGGAAATTTTCTTCCAGTAGGCTGATGCTGTCCATGTTTGGTCTTTGTCCAAAGGTGATTTGAATATAGAGAAACCTATCTGAGAAATATTCCTCTTTTTTCGGTAGTGATTACATTGAAGAAAAAAGCTACATTATTGAAAAAGCAGTTGTAGCATTCTTAAGTAAACAGTTCAGAAAGGCAGTGTTTCCCAGTCACCAGAAGAAAATGTTAAACACCTCTTCTTTTTTTTTTTTTTCTTTTCCTTTTTTAAAGAAAGAATTCAAAGGCCCCTCTGACTCCAAGATTCGGTCACTCTTGGTCCCAGGCCCAGAGATGGGGATGGTTTCCCTCCCTCCACAACAACTTCTAGGCTGTGTTGCTAAATGCCAAAGAATTGTCTCCAGAAGAATCTACCCCTGTGACTTTGGATCCACTTGTCACTTCCACAGATCCTTCCCAATCTTTTGTGGCCTCACATTTGATGGTGGCTCTTGGTGTTTTTGTTTTTGTATCCCTTCTCTCCATTGTCTCTCATTCTCAAAAAAGGAAGAGAGAGAGAGAGAATGTGAGCTCTTTATTCAGAGATAAATATCTACATTTCCAAATCTGACCATGCCAAATGAAAAGGTTTCCATGGCCTTGTAATTCCACCCCATTACATATTTGTGGTGTTTTGCATTTTCACTTTGGTTATTTAATATACATATTAAATACACACAGATCTAGTGATTTAATGTGATTTGGGGGACTCAGGCATTTTCCGTCGTGCACACTGAGATTTCCAAACCTTGTTCTGGGATGATGATGATTATTGTGGCCATTAACATGAGGATTTGCATCGCAGGGTTCAAAGCACAGCTTGTCCTTAGTCCTCCCGATGGGCATTTGGACCTCCTACACTCATGCTAAAGACATGTCACAAACACCCTGAGCAAGTTTCCAGGTCTCTTTGTGGCCTCCATTTCTCCATGTATAAAATGAGAAAATTGTAGTGTATTATCTCTGGGGTCCCTTCAAGTCCTAAATTCTATCACCTCTCTGAAATTATTTGTCCATTGTTCTAAGAATAATCTCAACAGTTGTAAAGATGTTTACAAGTCCTCTGTAACCATCCCACCATTGCTAAATTTTACCTGTTCTCATTTGTGACGTTCCCTTTTCTTGGCAGGGAAAAAAGTACTGTTTTAGGGTATGGCAGAAGATTGCTGCTTGACTCTCATTCGTTTGATGAAAGTGTGTTGAGCACTTACAGTGTGCCAGACTCTGAACTAGGGGCTGGGTGTAGACACCTGAGCAAAGCAGACACAGCCTCAGACTTCAGGGACTTTACAGTTTGGTTGGCAGCCTTGTAGTCTCTGCTTCTCAGGAGTGTCCTCAGTAGGCTATGTTTAAACCAAGGGTCTGGTAGCAAATGAAATAGGCCTGTAAGGATGAAGGAGCAGAGTCTGTGGTGAATGTGGGGATGGGCATTTCCCAGAAACTGACTTTCCTGGTGAAGACTCCTGTTCATACCATCTACCCTGGGACCCTAAGGCCCGGTTGGTTTATTGTCTTCCAGTCCAGTGCTACTGTTTGTTTTGGATGTGAAGAGATGTGAGTGGCTCACCTTTGACAGGCAAGACCCACAGAGAGAGAGGGGCAAGCATTCTTCCAACTTAGTTGCCTCTGTAGGAAACTTCTAAAGAGAGTATATATGTCCTTGGTAATTTTTCATTGCCTAAAAAGTGAATCTCTTGGCCATCCTTGCAGCAAACACCAGGGCTGATACATGGAGTACTGGGGTGAAATCTGGAGCTCCAGGGTCCCCTGGTGACCTGGCCTGGCTTTGGGGTGACCTCCTGTTGGTTAAGCACGCAATAATGTAGGGGGTGAAGGTGCTGGGTTGCGAAGGATGCTGAGGTCTTCAGGTAAGGGCGTGGTGCACCATGCTCTTTGTGGTGTTCCAGAAAGTGACTCAAGTTTCATCTCCTCACACAAAGCTGGCAGGGCTGGCCCTGAGCAGACTGTGAATGAAACTCATGTCGAAATCACGCTGAGCTGCCTTTACTGTGGGGCTCACTTAGGTCTGAACTGTGGCTGGAAAGAGTGTTGCTCTCTGACTCATGCCTGGATTCTCCCCAGTGGGGAGGGTGGCTGGGGCGGGGGGATTTGATCCAGTGGATTCTGATGGCCCCTTCTCTTTTTCCAGGAATGCTCACTCACAGGGTACCTTGCATGGAGTGCGGGCGCGGAGCAAACCATGTCACACCATCCAATGACACCAGCTGGTCAGCTCACCACCCCCTCTGGCTAAAACTCAAGCAAATAAAGCTGCTTCCTGTCATTAAGCATCTCAGAGGAAGCGGCCCTCCCTCGGTGGCCTCTAGCCCAGAGAAGCCAGCATGCCTTGGACCCACCAAGCGGGCCCAGCCTTCCTGCTGCCACCATCTCTGCTTCTCCCCAGAGGAATTTAGGGATTTCACCCTGATTTAAAACAAACACAACAAAACACCAACAAGCCACAAGGACCAGTGTAGGTATTCTCCCGGCTCCATCTTCGAGGCTCAGCGGCTGAGGCTGGAAGATGATACGGATTGGAAAACAAAAATCCTTTTTTAATCTTTTTAAAAACTGCTGTGGTTTTGCTGCTACACTCAGAATTGTGATTTGCATTATACGGTTTTGGACCTATACTGTTCACGTTTTGAAGGCGGAGAGGGATGGTACTGGAGTCCCAGCACTTCAGATTCAGCTCTGTCCTGCCCAGGATGCACTTTTAAATGAAGAGTTAGAATATTTTATTGGCTAATATACTTTTTCTTGTTATTTTTACAAAGGCCACCTTTATCCTTTTTGATGCCATATTTTCAGTGTTACACTTTTATGGCTTTTAATTTTCGATTTGACAGATGTAAGAAGCAGCATGAATAGTTTATACTGTGGTTTTTCAGAGACTGAATGCCAAGAAAACTCGGTAAATGTTTATTCTTCTCAGCTTTCTCTTTAAATTCCCCTAAATAGCACCCCATTTGGGAACAGAGCAAGAGTGTTGAACTGAAGACCAAAATGCCCTCAAGGTGTAAAATAATCCGAGGGGGAATGTTTGCTGGGCGTCACGAAAGACTCAGATGAAATTTCAACCCTGATGGTTTTCGGTGATCCAGGAAGTCAGTGAGACAATCTCTCCATACGCAGAGCCCTTTCATGATAATTAGAATGGTATGGACAAACCAATGAAAACAAGAGGGAAAGTGAGAAAGATCACCCATGATTCTGTTTCACTGTTTGCTTTCTCCTGTCATGGTTAAGAGAAATGTGCAATTCGATCCTCAGTCGTGGGTGGAGGATAACAGGGTAGATTTACTTGTGTGCACTTGTACAGTTGTAGCTGCGAGTCCAGAAGTCCTCTCGAGCATGTGTCCTGGCACTGAGTTGGTGAGACAGTCGTGGAGTATCCCATTCTGATGAGTACAGACAAAAAAAAAAAAAAAAAAGAGAGAAAAAAATTAAGAAAAAAATCAAAAAAAAGAAGAAAACTAAAAAAAAAAAAAAAAAACAAATCACCTTGTGATTCAGTGTATCTGTTTACTAACTCAAATAAAGCAATTGTTCCCTCTGGAGGGGTCCAGGTGCCCCCGCCCCACAAGGCTGTGGAGCCTCAGCAGGAGGGGTGGCGGGTCACAGGCGGGCTAGGCCATGATGGTCACGCCGGCCTTGAACAGCACAGGGCCCGTGGATGCGGTGTACATACTGTATTTCTAAATTCTCCTTTGTACGAGTCACTTAACAAGTCAAGCTACTGTTTTACAGGTGCTCCTTATTTATTAGAGCTGTGAGAGCTTGGGGGACACACCTGGCGAGCGAGCTCGCTTTTTAAAAATGAAATTTGGGGGCAGGGGAAAGGGAGGTGGGAGGGAGGGGAAGCTCGCAAGCCCGGGAGAGATTTATAAAAGTGAACAAAAGAAAAACTTCCAGCAACAAATTAAATGAACCCCAACACCAGACCCACCCACGCAGGAAGAAGCAGCCCGTCCTCTGGGTGCCCGCTTTCCTGCTGGCGCACCACACTCTACTCTCTCCCTGACTGGTGTCCGATTCATCAAACAAAAATAAATCTCTAAGAAAAAAAAATGCACTTACATGTGCTTGTTTGGCTTTTCTCATTATTATGACTATTGTTGTTATTTTCCTGGTTACAAAGCTGTTCATTTTTCTCCCCCAGGGAAACAATTTTAAAAATAAAGCTGATAAGTTGTAAAAGATGGTGAGATATTGGGATGGTCCTGGCCCTTCCTAACCTGCTGCGGATCGCGCGTCCCTGCGGAAAAGAGCCATTGAGTGTGTTGGAGTGAGTGCTTGGGCCCGTAGACCCAAGTGTGCTGTCCTTCCCAAGTGCTCTCAAGTCCTGAGCCTTTTCAGCTCCAAGGGTTCAGGTCTGAGGTTCAAGAAGCACTATCCACTGGATGCAAACATCCCCCGTGGGTTCCTGTCCCATCCGTACCATGACCCCCCATGAGCTGGGAGATACGTTTGTTTTAGCTTTATGTGAATGGGATGGGTCACTCTGGCTGTTCTTTGGTACCTGAGAGTTTAAACATCAGAAGGTTTCTAAGGTGGAAATTACACTAATGTCTAGTTCTAAACAATGTAAATCTAGTACAATCCTCTTGTACTACATATGAAAAAAACTGGATCCTAGAAAAGCAAATTGACTTGTCCAGAGTCTCACACTTACTTGTTTTAGCTTATCAAAAAACAAATGACCATTAAAACCTTAGACACCATCAGCAGTGTGACCTCCATGTGACCATGCTGTGGTTCTGGAAACATGGTTTCTTTCTCTCAAGGAGCCTGAGAGAATCTCAGAGGCTTCCTGGTGCGGGTTATGTTTATGATGGTGATTGCAATTGAGCTATGCAGAGGCAGCTCAGCTGAGGACATGCCAGGAGCCAGGGCACTGGCTGTGGCTCTCTGGTACAAAGTCCCTGATAGCATTATTCATCTGGACTTGGACTACAGACAGTCATCCAGGACATTGACTTTGCTTTTATCTGTAGTCCAAGATTGTCAAGCAAACATTTTGACCCTTCTGGCAACAAAAGGTACTGTTGTTCCAACATAAAAAGGTTCTGTGGCATCTCATTAGCCATTAGCACGGCTTTTCCTCCTCCTCTTCCTTCTCTTGACCTTAGCACTCTCTGATGCACAGTTCTCTTGGGCTTTGTACACCATATATAAAGAGAAATGGAGACAGTAACATATGCATAGCTAGCAGGTGCTGTGCACATGCGCCTTAGTGCCATTTAATCTTTGCATTAACCCTGTGAGGAAGGGCCTATTATTTTCCCTTTATTACATGTGAAGAACCCAGAGCTCAGTGAGTTTAGTGATCACCCAAGGTCACACAGCCAGTGAGTTGCAGAATAGGATTCCAACCCAGGAGGTTTGGCGCCAGAGCCCAGGCCCATCATCCAATCTGGAGAAAAACTGTTGACATATTCATGAAGAATCATTCTGACCTCCTGTAAATTTGTGGCAATGATTCAGTTTTACTCTAAAGTGGTTCTCATTTTAAACTAAGCCTGAAGTTGAGTGATAATGGTTAATGCCCATCGCATCTTATTGGATGTTAGGGAACACAGAGGACCCTCAGCTTCATGAGAAATGAAATAGGCAGTGTGTTCCTTGGTGGCTGTTAAACCCCCACTGAACACAGGTGCTTGATGCCCAGGAAAGAACAGAGAAGAAGCAAGCTCACAGCCCCTGCCCCAGTAACTTCACTTAATGAGAAAATAGGGCTTTGGAAAAGATGAGCCAGATCTGGGTCTCATCATGACTCTCTGCATGTTTTCCAGCGTTTATATAATCACACATCTGGAGCCTGTATTCACAACTTCGCAAAGCTGCCCTCCCCTCGCACGCACTCCCCTGATACTGGAAGGGCAGCTTGAGCTGCAAGAAGGCCTATAGGTTTCAGCTTAGGCTGCCCACATGGCACAGCCGAAGGCCAGGGCTGAGGCCCAGGTGCAAAGGCACTCGAGACTCATGCCAACTGCTGGGCCTCTCCGCCATCCCAAGGGCCAGGCTTGGCTTCCTTGATCAGCTTCAAAAGGGACCCACCCTGAGACTTGTTATATCTACTTGCAGCTCTTCATTAGGTTCCTGTGAGCTATAAAATCAAAGTCAAGGGCACAGTGTGGTGTGCAAAGCCCTCGCGGCTCTGGCCCCTGCTGCCTCTCCAGCCCCATCCACTCCCACTCCCTGCCCACCAGCCTCACCTACACCTACCCATCCTGAATTGGGAGCTGTTTCCTGATGTCCCTGCTCTCTCCCCTTCCTGAGCTTTTGCACATGGAGCTGCCTCTGCCTTGAATATCTTTCCTTTCTCTTCCTTGAGCGATTTCTGCAGCCCAGCTGCTCGGGAGAGGCTTTCCCTGGGAACCTGCTGGGACCGCTTCCTCCCCTCTGCTGCTGGGGCACGTGCTCCTTCATGCTGACCCCCATCCCAGTGCAGAGCACACTCTGCTTATTCAGCTTCTCACTTGTCTGTATCCTTTACTAGTCTGCAAAGTCCTTGAGGATGGGAATCATGTCTTATTTGCCTCCTATCTCCTAGGCCCAGTGCATGGAAAGCCCTCATTATTACTATTATTTAAAAAATTAATAACCCCCCTTCAAGGCTCAGTTTACATGCCACCCCTCCATGAAGCCAAGCTTGAATCGATTTTGCCTTGGCTCCTGCGGCCCCTGTTCAAGTGCCTGAGGCCACTCCTGGTGCTGTACTAGATAGTCTTCCTGCATCGTCAGGCCTTGGAGGGAGGCACTGTGGCCCTCCCAGCTGCATCCTTGAAGAGCTGTTCGCTGCCCTTGGAACTGAAAATGTTGGCTCATTTGAAGCACTTGAAGCCTACTAGCCTAATGATGGAAGAGAACTTTAAACCCTGAAAACCAGACGCGTCGTCAGGCCTTGGAGGGAGGCACTGTGGCCCTCCCAGCTGCATCCTTGAAGAGCTGTTCGCTGCTCTTGGAACTGAAAATGTTGGCTCAGTTGAAGCACTTGAAGCCTACTAGCCTAATGATGGAAGAGAACTTTAAACCCTGAAAACCAGAGCCGCCGTGCAGCAAACACAGAAACTTCAGACTACATTTTGTGTTCCTGGTGCTCAAGGGAGGGAGGTGCCATTGCCACCCCTGAATCAGCCAGTTGGTCAGCACGTCTTTGGGCGATGCAAAAAACCTAAGACTTGGTCACTGCCCTTGTGCTTCTGTGCTGAACACTGATTCCAGGTCAC